GGCATGGTGTTAGCGACCCCATCCCGTAGAAAACTAACTCGCTAAAAAATGTTAACCAGAAAAAATAATTCAAATTACTGGAACTCTGCTCTGGGAGTTAGAATGTCTTCATTTAAAAGAGTTATGACGCCACATGATGAAAGCGAGTTTCTTCGGAAGTCACGAGGCCGATGCCTCTTCTAACGACCAGAGCAACAATTTTTATAGGTTGGAGACCGGGAAGATCAGTCAAATAGCAACAGAAATGACGAGATACAAATCGGCAGTACTGGGAATCAGCAAAACCCATTGGACTCAAGCTGGACAGAAAAAGTAACATTCAAGAGAGATCCTGCTATACGCCGGTCACGAAGAGAAAAATGATCCACACACTCAGGGAATTGCTCTAATGCTGTCCAAAGTAGCACGAAATGTACATATAAAATGACCAACGATCATCAAAGCATCCTTCAAAACGAAAGGAGGGAATGACATTGAGTGTTATTCAATGTTATGCACCCACCAATGATAGCAACGATGACAATAAGGATCATTTCTATGAGAGTCTGCAATCAATCATAGCGAAGTGCCCAAGAGGACCTCACCATTCTGATGGGAGATCTAAGCGCCAAAGTCGGAATAGACAACACAGGATATGAAGATATCATGGGACGACATGGACTGAGAGAAAGGAATGAGAGTGGTGAGAGATTCGTAAATCTATGTTCATTCAACAAATTGGTTATAGGCGGCATAGTATTCCCACATAAACCCATACAAAAAACTACATGGGTCTATCTGGATCACAACACACAGAACCAGATCTATCATATTTGCATCAGTAAAATATTCACAAGGTCAATTAAACGTGTGAGAACAAGGAGAGAGGTGACATAGCTTCAGATCACCACCTAGTTGTGGCCAATTTAAAACTGATGCTAAAAAAGAACTGGACAAATGGACAAACAGCATTACCAAGGTTCAATACAGTCTTCCTTCGACATACTAACAAACTCAACGAATTCAAGACAGCTCTCAACAACAGGTTCCAAGCCTTACAGGATCTACTGAAGGGAGAAGAAACTACTATAGAGGACAACTGGAAAAGTATCAAAGAAGCATTAACTTCAACGTGTCAAGAGGTCCTGGGCCTCAAAAAGCACCACCATAAGTAATACATCTTTATAGAAACACTGGATCAAGGAAAGGAAGAAGAAGAAGAAGAAGAAGAAGACAGCAATTAACAACAGCCGAACATGAGCAGAGAAAGTCCAAGCACAAGCTGAGTACATAGAAGTAAACAAGCAAGTGAAGAAGAGCATTAAAGCAGACAAGCAGAAATACGTGGAAGAACTAGCAACGAAGGCGGAAAAAGCTGCAAGAGAAGGAATTATGAAACAGATTTATGATACAACGAAGAAACTATCAGGGAAATACAGTAAACCAGAGATCGGTCAAGGACAAAGAAGGCAGGCCAATCACCGAAACTCAACAACAGCGTAACAGATGGGTAGAATACTTCGAGGAACTCCTAAATAGGCCGGCTCCAATGAATCCACCAGACATCGAAGCAGCACACACAGAGCTTCCTATAGATGTCAATCCACCAACGACTGAAGAAATCAGAATGGCCACCAGACAAATCAAAAGCGGGAAAGCAGCAGGACCCGACAACATACCAGCTGAAGCCAGACATAGAAGCAACAACAAACATGCTTCACCTTCTATTCAAAAAGATTTAGGAGGAGGAACAAGTGCCGACGGACTGGAAAGAAGGACACCTCATCAATATTCCAAAGAAAGATCTGAGCAAATGTGAAAACCACAGAGGCATTACCCTAATGTCAGTACTAGGGAAAGTCTTTAACAGAGTGTTGTTGAACCGGATGAAAGACGCAGTAGACATCCAACCTCGAGACCAACAAGCTGGATTCCGTAAGGATCGGTCGTGCACAGACCGAAGTGCAACACTACGGATCATCGTCGAACAACCAGTTGAGTGAAACTCGTCACTGTACATCAACTTCATTGATTATGAAAAGGCATTTGACAGTGTAGATAGGAGCACATTATGGAAATTTCTTCGACACTATGGAGTTTCTGAAAGGACTGTCAACATTATACGGAACTCATACGACGGACTACAGTGCAAAGTAGTGCATGGAGGATAGCTGAGAGATGCATTCCAAGTAAGCACCGGAGTCAGACAAGGCTGTCTACTCTCTCCCTTCCTCTTTCTTCTGGTGGTCCACTGGATTATGAAGACCTCGACATCTGAGGAAAACACGGAATACAATGGACAGCTCAGAACAAATTGGACGATTCGGACTTCGCACATGACCTAGCCCTCCTATCCCATACACACGAACAAATGCAGATAAAGACAGCCAGTGAAGCAGCAGTCTATGCATCATTAGGCCTCAACAACACAAGGGGAAAACCAAGGTCCTCAAATTCAAAACGGAGAACTGCAATCCAGTCGCACTTGATGGTGAAACTCTGGAAGACGTAGAATCCTTCACATACCTCGGAGGCACCATCGATGAACAAGGAGGTCCAGATGCAGACGTAAAGGCGAGGATTGGCAAAGCAAGGGCTGCATTCCTACAATTGAAGAACATATGGAACTCAAAACAGCTTTCAACCAATATCAAAGTCAGAATCTTCAATACGAACGTCAAGGCGGTTCTACTGTACGAAGCTGAAACTTGGAGAACTACAACAACCACCATCAAGAAGGTACAAGTATTTATAAATAGCTGTCTTCGCAAGACACTCAACATCCATTGGCCGAATACTATCAGCAACAGCTTTTTGTGGGAGAGAACAAACTAGCTTCCAGCTAAAGAGGAAATTAGAAAAAGACTATGGAAATGGATAGGACATACATTACGCAAATCGTCAAACTGCATCACAAGACAAGCCCTAACTTGCAATCCTGAAGGGAAGCGGAAAAGAGGAAGGCCAAAGAACAAATTACGTCGGGAAATAGAAGCAGATATGAAAAGCATCAATAGGAACTGGAAGGAGCTGGAAAGGATTGCCCAGGACAGGGTTGAATGGAGAATGTTGGTGAGCGGCCTATGCTTCTTCACAAGGAGTAACAGGCGTAAGTAATATTCGTTTCAACCTCACTAAGAGTTAGAGGACTGACATCAATTTTTCACTCAAGTTATTTAGAGGTGGGTGCGGTCGAAGGCTAGTTGGACTGTTCCCTAAAGCGTTATGCCCATCGGTCCAACCTCCTGGATTAAGGGTGAATAATGTTCTGCTGTTACCTATCGACGCTGTCTTTCCTACCTCTTTTGCTTTCGTTGCCCACCACTCCCCATGAATATTGTGTATCCTTTTTATCAGCCGGTGTTAAAGCTGGCTCTGCCCATCACTGTGTTTGGAGGCAGATGGGATGAGTTAATAGGTATATATCAGAAGAGGCCGCTAAAGTTCACTGATTTTTCTTAACCTTTTAGTTAAGGTGCTTCCATAGTTGTTTGGATATCATATCAAGCTACCTCAGGTTGGACATTACTTTCAAGGTTGACCAACCCCACTAGTTGTTCCTGGCATATATTCTTGACCTTTACCTTATTGAGTCGAACTCAAAGGTTTCTTATTGATATATTTCTGATCCATCCAGCATGTATAATACATGTGATAATTATCGGAATATTAGTGCTACATAGTGTGTTAGAAATATGGAAAGGGAAAAAGCAAGATCCCAAAATATGACACATACAGTACCAACCAAATCACAATACATGAAGAAGCCCTGGATCAGGTGGAAACTTTTAGGTACCTAGGCAGCATGATTGATAAACAAAGAGGATCTGGTGCAGATGTGAAGGCACAGATTGGCATAGCAAGGGAAACATTTCCAGTTTTAGACCATCTTAAACTCAAAGCAACTGTCAGCCAACACCAAAGTCAGATTTTTTAATACAAACGTCAAGACAGTCCTCATATACGGAGCTGAAACAAATACCGACGTGTCGTGACTTGAACACTATCAAAAGCACTGAAGACTAATCATCGTTATTTCCAGACAATAGAGCTGCTTTTGATATGATTGTTTAAAAACCGGTTGTTGCAGAATGTATCTGAGATGCAACCTTAGTATTCAAGCCCGTTTGGAAATCACTTCAGACAGAGTGAAGGCACAGAATAATCTTGCTTCGATGTTTCTATCCGACAGTAGGATTGGATAGGATCATCTCATCTCAGTATTTCTCTTTGACTTCAGTGATAATAAACTTTGAGTGCAATGCGATAATGTAGTGCAGATCTTATACCTGGACAAAGACATCTTGACAATCAGTATGCGGATGACGCCGTTTTACTTTGCGATGCAATACAGGCTAACCAAGCAGCATCAGTTGTTAATCAATGTTTGTCAGTATGGTATTTACCTTAAACAACCGAAATGCACAGTACTCCCAAAAGAATAGTGGTATTCTTAGCTCTCATGCACCGTTGGAAACGGTCTAGAAGTCCGTGTGGCACAATTGCTTTACATATGTCACCTCAAACGTTAGAGGGGGGTTGAAATAAAGAGACTACCAGCTAATGGAGACGTAGATAAATGAAGACTATTCGCTGTATGTTAGCATTTTTCGGGTCATTAGGGTTCTGTAGGTGAAATCCAAAGATAGTAAATAACAACGACTACATATATTATCACAAGGTTTAGAAAAGCCCGTGGTATTCCTACCGTAGGTCTCTTTTGTGTTTTTAATAACATCTGTTTTTAAGCAAAAATATCGTATTTTGGTTGTTCCTACTGAGGTTGTACACTAATATCTCTCATAATTGTATTAAACAAATGTTTATGTATTTGTTAACTCATCTAAATTATTGCCAAACTGTGTAGTACATTTCTTGGTACTTTCTGCACCAAACACGTGTTACGATCGAATAATGTGAACAATAATCAAATGTATCTGATAATTTACTCATACTAATAATAAACGTTCCAAAATAAACAGTCAAATTTATAACACAAATTACTATCAATTTTTTCTTACCTGTAATGACCTCATCAGAATACATTCACCGTGTCTACAAAACTGTTTGGGCTCAGAAGAGTCGCCACTATCCTGCTGATTGGGTGAAAGATCACTCTTTGAATCTGTTCGTTCTTGATATGAACAGGGAGTGACTGAAGCCAAAAACGGAGAAAAGTTATTTGTTAATGTCAATTTGGACTCCAGCTCTATGATATTTCTTATACAAGGAACCAACTTTGGAAACCAAAAGTTTGGCGAATTCTCACTAGCTGTATTGAATAAAGTAGGCATTGAAGAGAAAAAGTCAGGTTGACCAATCGGTTGATTTGACTGTTCATTCAAAACGTACCCCGACAGCTGACCTGATACAGATGGCTTATATTTTTTACATTGCTTCTTATGTTTTTTACCTAAGAAATGAGAATCCAATTGCTCTTTGGAAGAGCAACTAAGACCACAAGGTATACAGAAGTAAGGAACATTATTGCTTTTATTGAATTGTTGCTCAACTCCAAACTGTTCAGACATAGAATTGTCAGAAGAAGAAATTATATTTCGCATATGCTTTGATCCACTGCAATGTAGGGTATATTGTTCAGAAGAATTAAGGCTTGTATTGCACTCGTTACAGAAATAGGTATCTATAGCAACAATAGTTATTATTAATGTGAAGTGAGGAGCTTACTGGCATTGCAGTTTTTTCTATGATGTGATCCAGATATATGCTGGGAAAATGGCGCCTTACCGGTGCATTTCACATTACACACTCTACAAATATAAACTTCACCGAACTGAGTGTGCTCTATTCTGCATACATCGCCAGTTTTGTTGGAAAGCGTATCAGTAAACGGTGAGATTCGTAGTGCGTCCATGGAAGAAGTGCATAAACGTTCAGGTACTTCGGAAACAGTACATGAAGTAATCCTTTGGGTCATATTGAATCCTTCTAGAGATAAAAGAAATTGGTCTGAAGTGTCATATCTATCAACAACAGAAACTTTATATGTATATATGCGACTCTCGATAAGTGGTACTAAATTGTAAATTGATCTTACATATGTATATATAAACATATATTTCCTTACTCGCTAATGTTGTAGACTTAGTTGTCATTAATTATTCATTTCATTCAATAAGGAGTAATAAGTTTGCTTACTCAGTCGAGGAAATGTCAATAAAGTGACTGTCACGAGACGAGTACCAGGACTGACACAGACAATCAAGCCTCTTGTCCTTTCAAAACTGAAGCTGAAACAACAATGAAAACAGCCAATGTACCCCAGTTAGTTTTTCTGTGAACATGTAATTGGACTACTCTGAATATTATCGCGCATTTTGATAGTTGCAGAGCAACCACTCATTGTTTTTGAAACTGACGGCTTCAGACAGCATACTTAGCCAGTATCAGGTTAACTGAAAAATTTACTTGTCAGCAATAATTAGCACCATCGAATGGTGTGTATGAAAAAAAACACTCAAGAGCCCAACATTCATATCAAAATATCGGGATATATCGACATGTACACAGAAATAAGGACTATAACACCAGGAGTACGTATGTGTAGAAATTTATGTCAGAATACTTACGTACCAGTTGAGAAATGCGATGCACATAGAGATCCTAGAAATTCGAAAATACTTTAGTCGCTTTGAAAATGTTACTACAATCTACTTACTCAGTGTGCGACCAAATCTATCACAACATCAAAGAGTCTATTTCCCATAAAACTAATTTACGCACACAAATTGAGTTGATTTTATGAGAATATACACTATATTATTATGCTGAAACTAAGCGACGCAAAAACTATGAGTGGCCAACCGAGAGGAAGACATACTTAGCATCCCAGAGAGTCGGAGAAAAATCGAAAGTAATTGCGAAGGTATTTTGAGGTTTATGAGGTATAGTAGGTTTAGTTACATGGTATTATGAAGTGAAAGTGATCTGAGTTAGCCAAAACTACAACGACGCGAAAATGAGTTCACAGTATGAGAAAAACGAAATTGCGCGATATACACGAAGTACGAAATTGGAGCGATCATAGATCGGATGAGGTCTCAGTGGCGAGGATTGGTGAAGCAAGAACCGTATTCTCTTAATTGAAGAACATATGGAACTGAAAACAACTGTCAATTTATATAAAAGTCAGAGTATACAAAATGCAAATGTCAAGACAATTCTACTGTATGGAGCTGAAACGTTGAGAACTATTACAACCATCCATCACCAAGAAGGTACAAGTATTTACAGACAGTTCTCTACGCAATATACTGAATTTTCGTTGGCCGGATACCATCAGCAACAACTCACTATGAGAGAGGACAAACGAGTTTAGATCTGTATAGGAAATTAGGAAAAGACACTGTAAGTGGATAGAACACACATTGAGGAAATCATCAAACTGCATGACGAGGCAAGCGTTAACTTGGTCTGCTGAAGGGAAATGGAAAAGAGGAAGGCCAGAGAACACACTGCGTCTGGAATTGGAAGCAGATATGAAAGAGATGAATTGCAACTGGAAAGGATTTTCCATGACAGGGTTGGATGAAAAGTGCTGGTGGCCGGCCTGCTCTGCTGAATGATGAGTAACAGGCTTAAGTATGTGAGTATTCTGGTTAATTTCATAAATATTATCAGTATGGATTAAGTTTTTTAGTTTGTGCATCTTGTCAAACTAGACTATTTTCGACTCAAAATATCTAGTTTACTTTACTTTAACTTGACTTCAACAAATGAAACGTGTATTCACAATGTAATAATGAATTTACTTTAATGGGTATTGTTTGTTACTTTTCTGTATACGAACTATGTAAATTTTTCTCTAACTTCTATTGGATTACCGTACTTGATTTTATTCAAACCATCTTGATGTTGATGGAAAACTGTGTGCTCATGCATTAATAATTTTAATCGATAATTCTTGGTGTTTTTGTCCTATATCTTGACCAGTGGCACTCAACCATGTAGAGTATGAGGCATTTATTAATCGATAAAGTCGAAAAACGATCCCAGAGATCTAATGTCTAAGCGCTCACAAAAAACGCAGTCTCTTTTGCGACTGCGAGTGAGGTTAAGAATACTCACTGCTGGGTATTTCCCTACTAGAGCGAGATGACCATTCAATGCTTTCTACTTTTCAATGGTTTTCTAAGGTCAGTTCGTGATGTAAACCGTAATGGTAAAGCTTGTAATAATTTTACGAATTAGGTTAACATTGATGTATGGGATAAAATACAGGACAGAAAGAGAAAATTTTAGTGAAAATGGAATACGCATAGATATCAAACGAAATTAATTGTCACCAAATAAGATTCTTTTTTTCTAGTCGTTCTGTAATTGCTTATGAAATTTTTGGATAACCGTTCCCACGTTAGCAACGTTCAACTATCATTAACTCCTCCTTAATTTTATCCTCAGAGCATAACCTGCGTACGCGGTTAAATAGCGTTCTAATCAAAGCTATTTTGTAGCCTATAGGACAGAAGCTGTGGAAGTAACCCATCACTGATGTCCTTTCGATAAATATATCTTTTTCATCGGTTACTGGTGTTACGTTTAGTACTAAGATCTCAAAAATGAAACATGTTATCATGTTCACATTCCATTGGAAATCTAATGTTAGGATTTTCTCTGTTGAAAAGTTTCAGTATACGAGAAGGATGTTGAGAATCATTACATACAAAAAATGTATCGTACACATACGTGACATACAACGTAGTGTCATTAATTGTCTATTTCACAACTGTTTGTTCTAGGTTCGTCATAAACAAGTCTCTCGATATTAAACCCAGAGGACTCTCCATAATCACTCTATAAACTCGATGGTACAATATATTGTTGAATTGAAATTGAACATTTTCAGTGCACATCGGTAGTGGTTGCTTGAGTTCGTCTTTTGCTAAGGGAATTAGGTCAGCGTATGTACATTCATTACACGGTAATTGATTTTTATCAAAAAAAGACTTTCTAGTCATAATACTCTAGCTTAAATTTACTACCGATGGCTAATAAGAATGTGATTTTTCTGTTTTCAGCTAGGTTGCTTTCGAAATTTATAAAAGCCACATCACATTTTTCTTTATGCCTGAAGATGGTATCAATTCAAAACCAACAAGTCTCTGGAGTTAATCAACAATATCGATTTCACAGTTTGAGATTTAAAATATAATTTACTAATTTCGCTTTACTTAATTAATTTCATATAAACTTTATCTATTTCACTGAATGATAAATTATCTTTTTTGTACAAATTAAAACGAGATCAATTCAAGAATTTGAAATATAAAGCTTTTTTAATGTAAAACGGTACATAAATTTTACTGAAATCATTAAAGAAAAGAAAAATTTCAATATTATAAATAAAATATATTTATGTAGCTACAGTTTTAAAAAATTACAATTAGGCCAATGAATAGAGTTTTGTTGTACAAAATAAAAGAACAATTTTACTCTTACAATTTGTTTGGTTTCATATCTTTGTCTGAGTAAATACAACAACAACAAAAAATAACTATTTTTTTAAGAGAAATTACTTATCAGAGAATTATCAATATTATTGGTTCAATAATTATCAAATATTTTCTCAGATATTTTGTTTTAAACATCGATGATAATGTTAAATGATAAAGATTACTAATTATCAAATGTAGACGTTAAAAAATATAAGTCATGCTACAGAATGTTAAAAATCGATGATGGAATAAATATTGATAAAATTTTAGATTATTATAAGTTATTTCGATGGGGAAATTTATTCAGAATACTAGGTGATTTTCGTTAGGTCCGCTAAATATTAGGGATTATTGGACAACGGTTTTGTTCTACTATGAGACCACTGAGCAATATGTACACGTGAATCTGATAGTGATAATACATAGGATATTTGTTTTGCGAAATGAACTCTTATGAATTCGTAACCGTTGGGATTTGTTCATGTTGAAGGCGAATTAGTCATAAATGATATTAAATAACCACCATGTTATACCACTAATTGATTAGACTTTTAGATATTTACCACCGGATGTCAACCAAGTGGGTCATTGATTAAGTTATCACCACTCCTTGGATAGCGTGTGTGCACTGATGAGGAGTCACATGTTAGGACAGAACAGTTCTCTAATGATCTCTGGTACTTAGTGGTACTTCAACACTGAATTAACTCAATGAACAACTCCTCAGTACTAAAATATCTTTACTTACAATCAAAATTTGTTTTTAATGAACTTTACTTGTAGTTATCTCAAATTATTAAGCTCCGTCTAATATCAGATGTCTGAAGTTTCCATTACTCACTGAGTATACGTAAGGTAGCATCCCTGTAAATAACAACATCTCTTAAAACACTAATACCTTTTCACTAAAATCCACTGTAGTAACAGGATTGTTTGGTTAGAAAGATTGACGAATAAAAGAAATGATATTCCTAAGGCAGCTACTTCATAAAGATTAGATATTACGCTCATCTTTATACTATGCCTACTCATCAACAATTCATTTTCATTCCTTTTTAAAATCCCAAGCCTTGTATAAATATTTTTTCTTAGGTTCATTAGTAAACTTGTTGTTGGTCTACAATGTTTTCAAATACATACTACGATTAGTCTTAAATATTTAATTGAGTACTTAATGTGATACCAACTTTTCTTATTTAATTTCCGAACTCATCACAGGAAATAAAAATGAATGCAATTTGGAGTTAGAAATCAGTCACCCTCTTTAATAACAATTAATCACATTATTTCAAAACATTTCGAATGAGGTTGAATATATATATATATATATTGTATGTGCATTTTTGAAAATCCCATAATATATCGTTCTCGGTGACTGGTATTACAACGATTCTGGTACCCGGATTGAAAAGAAAAAAATTTAAAATAGTTCGGTTATCTCAGTAATTCACTGTTGTATAACTCAGTCTCCACAAACATCGAATCAAAATTATATCACTAGTGACTTGCTTCTAAAGATTCTTTAAGGTTCTGTTATGACACTTTGACTATTAGAGTCGATGAAGTCAAAGGCTGACTGAAATCGGAACCTTTAGTTAGTTGACTCGAGCTTAGCCACTGAATTGCATTACACCTACCACGAAATCAATCTACTCAAATGCTTTTGTTGCATTAAAATTGTTTTTATACTAGCTCAAAAACAGAATTTCTAACTTCTTTCTAACATGGCTCCATAATTTCAATGAAAAGACTACGGTGAACCTTTTCAACTTACTTATTCCTAGACTAACAGCACTGTTGTGCATCAATATCAAGTATCGATATTCTGTACTCAATGATTTTATGCCATACGAGTGAGTTATACTTTATAGGCTTGCTTTTCAATGGAAATATCACCAAACACTATGATGAGTTAAAAACTTAACCATCAAATCTGAACTAAGATTAAGCTCTTCAACAGAGGGTTTGAATGTTAACTTCATTAAAATACTACCAGAATATCTTGGAAAAAAACTATTTTCGTAGTTGCGTATATATATAGCTTGTTTGTGAAGTCGAGCATGAACTGAACCTAAAATCAATATTTTCGTTCCTTTCGGCATTGCCTGAAAACAGAAAAAAAGGACACGAATCACCATACAAGCCAACTAATAGACAATTACCCAAACCTAATCAAGTGCACTACTGAAGAGTACCGTTCTTTGACAAAATGGCCATCCAGTGCTTCAAGTCTTTTAATGGTGGTTTAACATTCATCGATTCATTATCTCAATCAAAAAACTCAACAGTATTCACAACCCCATGCTGATAATTACCATGTGCTCACTAGTGACTTGATTCAAGATGGATTTCCTGAAGTTCTAGCGAGAAGCCATAGTCAGTGATGCTAATCCGTGTCGAGTGTGGAGCAGTTACACATCAAGGACAATAGAAGATGGTCGCACGATGTCGTGGATTGGTTGAAGTTAGACATAATCACCGATGAATGCCGGCTCAGTGGTCCGAAGGTTAGGCGTTCGTGTGGGACTAAAGGTCCTGGGTCCGAGTCCAGCATACTGAATCGTGGATGCGCGCTGATGAGGAGACCCATATTAGCACATAACGGTCATCCACTGCTTTCAGGTTTTCAGTGGTGATCTAACATGATCGGTTCATGATTTCAATATAACTAAAAAATAACACTAAACAATCTTAACACTTTAAACGCCATTTTATTTATACATTGACACTCAGAAATATATTCTGACTGGAATATTTATATAAGAGATATAAAACGATACAATAGACGTGGGTGCACGCACGTATTTGAGTACTAGTATAACAAGCACATAAAGTACTAGGGGTACAAAAAATGGACTATCAGTTATTTCATAACATGAATAATATTGGTAGTAATAGTTTTAAAAATAGTAAGATTGTTATAAACATTATTCTGGTTTTTTTCATTATTTTCGAAGGACGTATGAATACAAATACAGTATTTAGATTAAAACGTAAGGAGAGAGTGTGTCTGTTGAAAGTTACAAGACATTGAGTGAGTCCAAAAAGACAAATAACGACTATAATAAAAATGAAGAGAATGATAATGCGAGAGGTCATGAAAGAGGTAAACATATAAAGACAACTAGACAGCGAAAGTGAAAAAAAAAGAATTAGTCTTTTTAAATTAGTAATCAAAACTATTTTGGTTCTTGAACATCTTCAGTTTAATCGTTTAAAATTATCTAGGAAACAAAATGCTACTTTATTTCAAGGAAGTGATATTTAAGGATTAAAAATACTAATACTAGTGATCATAGAAATAATCGCTGGATATTTATTATAGTTATTATCAACATTCACACAATGATATACACTTGTTAAAATACATATGTTTATTATCAGTGTAAGGCTGTTTACATAGGGGAGAAGTTTTCAACCTCCTTATATATTGATTGATTTCATCACTGGATACAAAAAGGGGAATTGATGAATTTACTTCAATCTTCGTAAAAGGTTTTGTATAAATTCCTTTAAAAAAAGGAAAGCATATCAGAAAAAGGTAAGTGTAAAAATAAATTATTGCCATGCAATTAAATTTTCGTTATAAAGCTAAGTATATGACTCCTAATGAAACGATTTGGTATTCATGAAGAAAATGTGTTAAGTTTTATCTGTTAACTATCTTCAATGAAGTCTTGAATTGCGCTTTTCAGGAAAGTCCAGAAAGAGTGATTTAAGGCATCAGCTCAAAATGCACACGTGGAGACAAACACTGACCATTTGTAGCCGTAAATATCGACAATAAATATAATATAAAGTCTTCAAAATTCTCATGAAGACATTTGAAAAATAAACCAATTTCCTTTCATTTATCTTCATATTATTTCTTCACATTACTGTAATATAGGTTTTACAATTTAAAATTAACATTCATCGAATGGTTGTCAGTTAACTAACGGTATGTAACTAGGTTTAACACCATCTCGAATCAGTCAGTCAGCTACAACGTAGGACAAGGAACAATTTACAATAGACATTAAAAGTTGGTAATAAGATGAATGGGAAATTAATCTACTGGTCACGTCACCATAAAAATGAGAATGGGTTTTATTCTAGCTCACTTAACGTTTTTATATAAAGGATACTGAATATAAAAATAAAACATGATTATAAGTCATTTTAAAACATAAACGATTTGGGGATCCCAGTCTTCTATATTATTACTTGCACACCAATAAAACTAAGATCCGACTATCTGACCTCATTTTTGCCAGTCATACCATAAGTAAACATGACAAAGAAACTCAGTTAGAAGGTACTGGAATATATGTTGTGACATTGAAAAAGCCTCTTTTTGCGAACCACTAAAACCCAATCAAATTCTTTTCATTGTAAAAGAATGTCAAAACAGTAAACAATTGCATCTACATTACATGTTAAAAATATGGATAACTAAATGTAGCAACTAGAGACAAATTGGTCATATGGTATTCATGAAGTCCAAAATTTAAATAGATGAGTCAGTTGTCAGTCTTAGCTGAATACTTTCTGTTTAGTAAATAAAACTGGTTATATTACATAATTTAAATATCCCCATATCATTAAAGGGTACTACTATGTAGAAGAATATTTATTAAATTTGAAGATTCACTGTTGTTTCTGGTTGCTTTATAATCAATAAATTCAAATTTCCGTTAATTCAAACTGTTATTCACAGAAGTAAGCTTATTATCATAAAATTTGGATAACTGTTGTCTATTCTTTTGAAACTGACTGTTTTCAAGCGAAGTTAAAAGTGTACGTAGTAAAAAGACATTTGATATAGAAAGATTACCAAACACTATTTGTTATAATCGGGAGGGTAACAAACAATATTAAATTCATTTTTCAGTCGTCTATGAAATACAACCAAGTTTTAGGGGGTCATTATATTAGTTATATCTGTTGACCATTGATAGTTCTGTTTGTTGTATTGTATATCTATTATAATTTTATAAATTATGGATTGACTGATATTAAATACGACTCAATTTAATTTATACAAAACTTACCCTAAATAAATCGCTTAAAATTTAGTGTAATCAGATTTATTTTAAGGATAAAATGAATCCTTATCCATCGTCTTCAAGCTCTTACTTAAGTAATTTCACTCATGATTTCCAGCAGGTGATATTTTTACACAACTGTTGTATAACAGGATAGAGGTCCTTCATCTCATGAACTTTTCGAAATTTTAGATTTTGTTAAAGGTTTAGAGATAAGAACAGGCATCCAAATAACATTGATTAGTAAAAATTAATTAGAAAAAAACATTTTAATTTGTTCAACAAAGTGGTTTCGTTTTTATTTCGTATTGAAGAATTGTTAATAAGCAAATAAGTTTACAAGGTTTTTCTAACTATATGTGACCATCAGGTTTTGTGATGAACGCATGAACTTTAGGCTACTGAATAGACATTCAACCGTTTACATTTCTAACTTGAATCAGTTCACGATTTTTCGCAACCAAATTCAAATGCCATTGTTCAGTAAGTGTCTTACACTCGACATTACTGAACTCTTTCCATCACGCTTTCTCATTAGAACTCATGAAATTACCGCTCGAAACTAGTCGTTGGAGACTTCAATCGGGTCGCCCATGAGGATTACTGAGTAGTCATATATAAGTACAAAAGGTTTTCTATGGCGTCCTAGTTTTCACTAGTTATCTAGCAATGATCAGTTCGTAATTTACGTCATAAAAGTCAACAATCCCTACAAATCCCTTAAACTAAGAATGCACATCCCCCATATTTTATTTCATTTAGAATTCTCGTTGGAACTTCTCTCAGATTATTATGGCTCAATCTATTACTTATTCTTCTATGTGATCGAATTTAACCTCATTACATACAGTAAACGTACTAGTTACATACTATCCAAATGAAATTTATATTTTACTGAAAAATGTCATATTATTTTATCAAGTTATTTTCTGTAATCCTCTCACTATTTTTTGACATAATGAAAAGAACATTTTTTTCTTTTTCTTGCATAAATATGGGCACTAGTTTTTAAAAAAATACAAAATACTATGGTTACGAAACAAAGTAAATAGTTCATAATATGATGATCAATAATTTTTGTATGATTTGTTTTTATTAATAGTTTAGATAATAATTATGTGTTGATTATGACTACATCTTTCCTTTGATGATCTTGTAAAATTACCTAATGTGTAGTTCAATAAATACTGAGAGAGATGTTTTCATTTCAGATGACTAAGTAGGAAAATTTTGAATACATGAAATCACTTTTTAGAAATAATGCCTTATTACAGTGTGGGATTCCTCAGCAGTGCGCGTCCATGACCCGCATATGGGATTCAAACCCAGTGCCTTAGGTCTCGGGCACGAACGCCTAACCTCAAAACTAATGGTGCGAAGTGCTGAGGAGTCCCATCCAGTGCTTCCAGTCTTTTAACTTTGAAATAGCCACCAAATTAAACAAGATCGAATTTCTTCTCAAGTCTTGTTAATGAATAAGTTGACTGGAATAGACAATATGGAAACCACTGGGCTTCAGTTTTGTTACGTAAAGGTATTCTTTTTGTCACGATACCTTAGGATTTTCGGGTTTATAAGAGGTGAACGATAGGGGGTCTAGAGTAATATGGTGTATCAACGTCATTAAAGCTCAGTAAACCAACTGGGGGTCAAAATGATGAAACCATAAACTTCTCTCAACCATATCAGTTGGTTTGACGACTACGAATTCCAAGATATATTTGACAGATTTATGTCAAAATGCATTTAAAGGTTATTAAATATCTGACAGATTTGATGTGGTGTTTGAATGAACTAATGATACCTTTGTACTTTTTGAATGCTCGATTTCGAATTCTAAATACAATACATTCGTTTTTGCCTGTGTCTTCTTAATTGAATTGCATTAATCCTGGAATTCCTAATTCATACGATAATTAGAATACCATATTTGAATATTTAGTTTCTTAAACTCTAAATTTTGTCCATTATGGTGTTTCATAAACAAATAACTCAGAAACGTAAGATTTCAAGATTTTCCAAGTATATAATAACTACAGTTAAAGGAATTACGAAAAATTTATTCTCTTAGCTTATCGGTCACAATATGAATATTATAAGTAGTATTTAGATGACATCAACGACTAGACATGTAAGACTGATTAATATAGATTGACATATTTGTAGTAATCCTACTGCGTAAAATTCATAAACCTAATAAAGGGACACTTTTTTATGTAACTATATCTAAAATAAAACTTATTTCAAAGACTACACTGAGTAATTTAAAAATTACTTTTATATGCTAAGTCCTCTCGGTCGATTTCCTTGAGATTTAACACTTCGATAAGTTTATCCAAATTTTACTCACTATTCAATCTTAAGAATAAATAATCCATTATGCACACTTATAGCTAGCACAAATAAGGTGAGAAATTGTAATGATTAAAATGTAAAATGCTTTTCTTCTATGAATGAACAAACAAACACTAGAAGCAAACACTTTTTTAGAAATCCACCAATGGAGTTACAAATATAACAATATCTGACAATTTTCCAGAACATAAATACTTAGCATAATATTTTAGTCATCTATGTGTTTTTATATTTCTATAAACAGACAGCTTTCTTATAAGTTTTCCTAAAAACAAATGATCAAAAATCTCACGTATTTTTAATTTTTATCTATTAATTAGCATTAAATCTGATTTTTGTAAACATTCTAAAGCCTTCTTTCTTTCGTGAACCTATATGAGGCTAGCCTCGTTATGTTTGAAAATCAGCTCAACTATTTTATAACCTTTAGTTGATTCTACTAATGGCAACGAAAATGAAATATAGTTCCTCATTTCATGTTGTACACGAATACTTAGGCTAATCACATTGTTAGTAATAAGTGTCAAATACGAAATGTGTTGAAAGCATTAATTTCAAATATTTATATGCAAGCAAAAGACAAAAATAGAGTGAATAGATAAAACTTTGGAATTGGTAACTCATGAACTCAAGAAAGCTAAGCTACAGTATTAATAAAAAATATTTCAGATATTATATTATGTTGTCGAGATATCTTTTATGCAGATTTATGTGTTTAAATGGACTGATTGTTCATTATGCTCTGTTTTACACAAACAAATAACACTTATAAATTGTAAGCATTTTTTATCTCAACTTTAAAAAGAAATATGATTTGATACCAAGATACGAATAAAGATAGTCGTGAAATAACGTTCAGTTAAATAATCAACCCTTTAAACTGTACTAAAGATAATAATAACTTTTTTCGACCGAATAAAAAATGGGAAAACTCTGGAAGCATTTGAAATAGGTATATTTCATGCTTCGGAATAGTAAACGCCAGACAAGCAATAAGTTATGCAGTTAGTGTGTAAAGCACTGGAGTTCGATAGTACGCCAATCTAAAGTATCATAAGCTGACTCCACTTTTATGAGTCATTTAAAAATGCAAGAAAGATAGATGCACAGAAGAACATATGTATGAGA